AGACAATTTTGTATCAAAATGACAACAACAAAAGACAACAATTTATTTTAGAAAAAAAATTACCCCTAAAAACAAAGTTTCGCTTAAGAAAGTAATTTTATGGTGCGCATTTGTTAATGGAGGTATTACTGTATATTATACAAAATAGTTAATTATTTGTGAAAAATATTACGTGCATTTATTGTATAGGTTTTTTATATGTTTATATTCTTGGTGTAAAACTAACTAAATAAAATATTGCTTGCTTTAGTGCACATGTTAATTCGACACCGAAGCGAGCAAATTCCAGTCGATATTCGCTTCATTTTCCCTTGAACGTAGGAAATTACATTCGGAATTTTTCAATCAAAATTTTAATTGCGTTCCTAGCTAAACTGGAAAGGACCATCGCCAAGGCCTATTTTGTACTACCCTCTGCGAACTTTGGGAATGCGATTGAAATAATATTATATTAAAATCCAACTGGAATACCTAGGCTACGTACGAACTTCATCTATATATATTATATACAGGAATTGATTAGTTGCAATTTGTTCTGGAGTGCGGACCGTTCATTGTTGGCTGTAACGCACGGACGTGTTTATTACCCGGTATGTATGGACTTCCATTCTTCAAAAGGGAAAAACTTCACCCTGAGAATTCCCGCAGCGCATTATATTAGCTCCCACCGGAAATTTCTCGTCTCGATGTGTGTTTGTGTGTATATATATATTTGTGCACTGTGCCCTTACATTTTCAACCTGAAACCCTAACACACGCACCCCCCGACTCGAATCGATATTAGACCACGGAGAAAACAACAATTTCCTTTCTCCGACGCAAACCCAAAATCCACTTCCTTCCGCGAAACCCTTACATAACTCGTATTTTTCGGAAAATTGTACATATTTATATATAAACGTCATAATATAAGTGGATCAGAAACGAGATCGCTTAGATTTTCATCAAAAAACAAACAAATAAAAGCGAATAAATAAAATACCTCTGGAATTCTTGTGACAGTTTTAATTACAAAAATTGCATTGCAATCCGATCGAGTTAATTAAAAGCCGTTCATGAATATATGGAAATTGTTTTTTGCGCTGCTATAGAGGTAATTTTATGATTACAGTTAATCAATAATTGTTTACCAAGATTATGTATATGATTGTTGTTGTTTTGTTATTTTATATATTCACTGATATTACCGTACCTCGAACAGTTAAATCATTCGCACGTGATGTAACATTCAGAGCGGGGAATTTCTATAATATAATATGTTTTGATATGGATTCGCTTGAAGTTTTAATTAAAATTTCTCCGGTTTTGATGGAATGAGGGTGATAGAGAGTGAGGGATTCGCGTGGCCCAAGCTTTTGATTGAATACATCAGATTTTCAATGGGATTTGGTCCAATGATTATTTTGTCCTTTGTTCGTCTGGCGATATCAAAACAGTGTTCTAACAAAAGGACGAGAGGTTACGGCGCCGTGGAAATCCTTTTGTTGTTGATTCGCCTGCAAAGGAGGATTTTCCCAATATATTACGATACACTTGTTTTAATAGACTCTATCTCAATTTTTTTTACGTACTAATTTTGAAACTATACTTAATCAAAAATAACTGATTTACGATATATACTAATTAGCTTAGTTCTTGAATATTAATAATAATATTTATTGCAATAATAAATCACCAAAATACAAACTCAAGTGAAAATTATTTATTAAATTCAAAAGTCATTTAAAAATAATAAATATTGTATACAAAAACACATATTTAACATTGATGTTGTATGTACATCAATGTTTAATTAATTCACTTAAGTAAAATGTAATTAGTTGCTTAATTTAAGTATAACTTAATTTTTGTATTCTAGAAGAGACAACAAATTAAACATTACAAACAATAAGTTGATTCCGAATTGGGGAAAATAGGAAGCGCGTAAAACACAAGCTAATACAGTAGAGGTCATACACATATTATTGTAGGTTTATAGCTTATTTTATACTCCTGTAAAAACCTATGATCAAAACATTTGAAAGCACTGACTTTGATTTAAGATTTGATATTTTATTATGTTATGCATATAAAAGTGATATAATCAAAACTACAAATGAATGCATTTAAAAATGAATAAACGGATTTCAAATAGAATTAATCTATTTTATTATGTAATTTAACCTACGACCAAATCATTTTAAATCACTGAATAAAAGTGATAATATCAAAACTACAAATGAATGTATTTAAAAATGTATAAACGAAATTTAAATAGAATTACTCTAATTTTATTATATTCGGTGAAGTAAAATTGTGAATCTAGTTGTGTGTTAGAGCATTCCAAAATGGAGGTAAAAAAAGAGAAAATTCGATATATTCTTCAGTAAAATTATGACCAAGGAGAAAAGCGGAGCTGGCGACCAAAAAAAATGTGTTGTTTCTGGACCCAATACAGTATCGAATTTAGAAAGACCTACGATGAAAGTATTTTAAATTAGTAAATGTATAGTGTTATTGTTAAAACTGTAAATGTGTGTATATTTTAAAATGAATGGATACATTTCAAAAAAAGAATTAATGGAATATACTTATGTAACTCAGAAATTTCGAGTTGTATTCTATAATTATTATCTAGTACATAATTTACTAAATATACATTAAAAATAGATTATATATAAAGAGAGAAATTATTGAAGCATGAAAAATAATAGTAGTTTCTATTCAATGTTATAAATGAAAAAATGTTCAGCAATAAATTAAACATTATAATTAGCTTGAATTGGTTCAATTAAATTCGTGTCAATTAAATAAATATTTATGTTGTTTTAATACTATATAATAAGGATTATTTATCTTGAAATTAAGTAATAAATTTTAAATAAGATTATTAATAATTATTTTGATATAATTTAAGTAATTGAATACTTTTAACATGAGAGTATATAAAACGGAGTAATATAAACTAAATAAAAAATATATAATAAAACCGTATTTGGTTAAATACATAAAACTTGATTACTATGTATGAGTCATACATTTCACTTGCTTCTCCTTCTTTATTTTATTAGGGCCAAAAATATTTTATTATTACTTTAACTTTAAACTTCACTTTTATCTGTATATAAGAAAGTAAAAAAAAAAGAAGAAACAATAAAATATACCTATTTTTTTTAAATAAACATTTAATATTTAAGTAATTCAATTAATTTTTATTATGTTCTTTTTAACTTTATCAATTTATATGTTATTAATGTTTGTTTTTTGTTGCTTTTGGTAAAGTTATTTTTTTTTAAGTTAATGATATTTCTATTTTTGATGCGACAATTAATTGCCTATTTATTTTATTATGTAAATTGTTACGGGAAATTCAATTCGATTATTCTGAGTGCATAAAACTCTTTGAAAGGTAAATTGTATTCCCTAGTCGGCGCCGGATCAAAGGTAACCCGTGGTGCTTAAATAAGTGTAGGTTGTCAAAAACACACAGTGCTTAATGTCCGGCGGATATTTGTAAAAAAAGAAGTTATTGCCTTCGGAGTATAGTTTATGATATTAGTTATAAAGTTTCCTGACTCTCTGTGTGCATAGTTTACATTTGTAATTATACCAATTTCATGTTTGGGTTATCTATGGTATAATATAACATGTTTAGCTATAAATTTCAGTCTTTACGTTCAATATATTTGCTTTAATATATAATCATATGCCAAATAGACAAATATTTATATAAATAAATTATTATTATGTATTCAAAATGTCATTTATGATTCATATTATATTGTGGAATATCGTGGTTTTTTCTTATGAGACGAATCGGACTATAAGACGCACCTGGAATATATTAAATTTATCTAAAGAAATCTTAATTATTGAAATAATATTATATTCTTGTAAGTTTGAGGAATTTACAATAAATTTGTTAGAAAATATGATATAAAATATCTATTTTAGGTCAATTTATTAACGTAAAATACGCATCTTATGGTCCTATTATTTTTTAATCTTTAATTTAATAATTAGATAACTAATATAACATTTCTTTAAATATATATTTTTTTTAATTATGTCATAGTATACTTAATTTACAATCTTATTCTTGCGAACATTTATTAAATCTTATGGCGGTAGACATTTGTTTTTTTTAGTAAACTTCGCAATGGAAGTTTTTACCATTATATTCTTCTGTAATTTCGTGGTTGGCTGCCGTCTTGTAGGTATTGTACTTCAGTATATTGATGCTCTGCGATTCGACTATTCCCTTTGTTTTAACACTATGATTGTCCATCGACTTGGATGAAGGTCCATATACTGAACCACTTTCCTTTGACTGCCCAATCATGATGAACGATGGCCCTTTTGCTGCAAGCACCGAGAGGGCTCACAGATCTGGTTTGACTAGGATATGAACCGGCGCCCACGGGATCGTGGGTAGGCCAACTTAACCATTCGGCTATTAGTCGCCCTATTTCTTTAAATATAACTTTTTTTAATAAATTAAGTATTTTGTAGCATTTATTAATGGTATATTGCAATGAAATAAAATTTAAATAGTCTGCATAAAAGACTCAAATCTAAAATCTTTGGAATCACAGGTTTTTTTTGGAACCGCTTTTCGAAGTAGGCCAGCACCAATTAAAATACTCGATTGGTCGGAATCAAGAAACTCTACCGTGCGAATGGATATTTCTTCGATCCACTAATAACATAATCACGACATTTTATGTTGCGATCCGGCAAATGTTTATTGAAATTAATAACGCATTTTCGTCCATCCGATTGACCGTTGCGCCATTCGAGAAAACGTACAAAGCGTGGGCGGAAAAGTCCAGCCAATAAACCTGTGCATGTTCGTCTGACGTTGCAATTACTTTCCAAATTTATGTTCTCGGCATTTAATACCGAGAGAAAACTTTATTTCAGCGCAGATTCCGCAGTGTAATACTGCTCATATTTATTTCCTATGGACTCCAATCTATTTTCTACATTCCTATTACTGTAAATAATAAATAAATACGTACCGCGAAATCTTAAATTTAATGCGCACTCGTGTACAATGCGCTTGCTTGATTTACCACAATAATTTCCTATAATAGAAAAATTCGTGTATTAATACGTATTCACAATATTTCAAGATTTTTTCTAGCTTAATGAATTTCGTTCTAGTTTTTATGTTTATTAAAATCAATTTTGTACAATATATTAATTATTATTCCCCGAGTGGAAAAACATTATTTGTTTAAATTTTTGCGTAAATAAATGTTATTATTTAAAAAGAAACGACAATTATTAATTTACATTAAAACTTTTGTAGTATTTTTTTTAGTTGGGAATGTTTTTACATCAGAATATTGTTGTTAAGTAAAACGCATCTAATCTTAGATGAAACTGTACTTTTTCTTGATTGCAGCGATGCAGTTATTCGGATTCACTTGATGAATATATGAAAGGTGGAATTCTATGCATGAGAATAAACAATTATAGAAGGCAAAAGAGCGGAGATTCTTAGTGACAAAAGAAAATGATAGTGATCACAATTTATGGTACATTACTTATCTATCTTATACATAAACTTTAAATTAAATACTTAAGTAGTTCAAATAATGTATTTTCTTGAATTCTTAAGAATTTAACTTGAAGTAAGTTTCATTATAACAGCTCAAAATTAACTAAATTTATAGTAAAATATTTTATATATAAAGTTTCATTTGATATGTTAGATTTACTATTTTAAAGGAGATTACACACTACAGAATAATCAAGTTTACTTATTAAGCTGTATAAATATCGATAATATTCATCCAACACATATCATATTTGACATTAAGTAAATACATATAGTTTTATAAGTTACCTTGTAACACTATACTTGACAAGTTATTTAGCAAGACAAGTACGAATTTACTCCATGCAATTTCACATAATATGAATGGTTTTATGACCTTGTGGATGAAGGTAAACGTGGTACTCTTAAAATAAACCAAAAATGTAATTGGTGATAATTTTAATTACAAAAATACATTTTTATTTGTTGATGATATTAATTTACTTTTATGCTTATTTTCATAAATGAAAAATTAATCAATTTTTCATATGAACTACATAATTCAATTTTATTTCAATCAGATTGTAATTTTATTTATTTGCTGCTGCAAATTTTAGAAAAATAAATGTAATTCCTCAATCGGACTTGAAATGAAGTCTTGTTTGTAAATATTCATGTACGTATTATGGAACAAAAGGATGTACGTTGAGTGAGCGCTGACTGTATATTTAAAAACGGCTACCCGCATTGCAGTATGTTATTATATAATCATGAAATATACATGGGTTTGTTTTCAATTTGGAATGCACATATGTATATGGAGTGTTAGTGCTTACACAAGATTCGGTGTGACCCGTATACATTACGTGTGCTGTCAGCTCCGGTCTGCAGCTAAAAACGGACACAAACATTCGGACACTCCAAAAAAAAGTAGACGATTTACCATTGTACTCATATGGATAATAGCAATTATCGGATCGTCTTTAAGTGAGTCCAAATATTGGTCTATGCTCCAGACCAATATTGGTTCTCCTCCAAGGAACGAATTCACTTTCGTGTCATTCCGGTTCTTTGTACGAGTTGTTAGTAAAATGAAGCAGACTCTTTGAACAACAACGAAAAAAAAATAAGGAATGCGATTACGTTTTATAAATAATAACGTGCTTTAGAACGTGCGAGGGAAAGTTGTCTATTAGATAAATGAATCGATCGATGGTGCCTGGTTTTCGAATGAGGGGAAAAGTCAACTGTGTTCTGCGAGTGCAAAAACCACGCAGACGAAGACAACACCAAGAAGCCGTCAATCTGGATTCCTGGTTCATTAGTTTATTCATTTTTTTTTTAAATTTATGTTGAAGCCATTTTTCCTCTTGATCGACGCGAGCTCGAGAAAGCGAATTTCGAAGTTTTCCATTTTCACTTTCCAGCGAACAATCTCGAGGCTGGAGCTAATCGGGCAACAAGTAGTCGTTTCCATCAATAATTTAGTAAAATGTAGGTTCTCGTTAAAGTGGTTTGCGAATTTCGAAGTTTGATTATAGCACGAGATTCATCTTAATGTGGACTAAGAGGTGTCATCAATTGGCTGCGCATATCCAGACGATCCGAGTGTGCGTGCTTCGAAAGGCAACAACAATTTCTTCTTCCCATCACGTTTCGTTTTCAATGGGAGCTAGTTTTGTATACATGCATATAAATACTGCACGGCGAAGAAGAGAGAGTTGCTGAATTAACACATTATTTGCTCCAAATCCTTGTTATTTATTTATACAAATGCAAAATGAAATCGTGTGGAAAAAAACTACACAACTTATCTTCTTTGAAGCATATTTATATGTCAATATGTAATAGGTATTATGTAGAATCCTAAAACTATTAGATATACAACAAACATTACATTTTGTACATTGTCTAAACATTTTATATAATTCCGAAGATTTTTCGTCAAGTAAATTGAATTGAATATTATTGTTTTTATATGTCATTTGTATAAATTATAATTAGATAATGTATTCAATAGAATACCTACAACTATTAGGCATAGAGGTCATACGTTTATCTTTAATATGGATATTTGATGATCTAATTAGCGTGCGCGGTTATCGAGTAATTAAATAAAACATGCAGACGTGAAGAAAATTCGAAAAATCTCCATATCTAGGTCATAATTAACATTGCGTAATAGCGGTTACATTATAAGATGCGCATTAGAAGACCCGTTCTGATGAAATCATAAAACGTATAAGTTTTTCCATAAAATTATTATATTTTTAATTAGTCTAACATTTTAGAAAAATGCCTTTCTTTTTATATGCTAATATATAAGTAAGTTCATTGTTAGATATAATACTTTTCCAAATTTCACGAGGCATTTTTTCCATGCGACCCCAACATAGTTATTTGTAGTTGTACTGCGACCCAATTACTAAGAGCATTTCAGCAGATCCTTGCATTCAGGGGCGGAGTTAGGCATGATCTTTATGGGCTAAAGCAAAGCGCCCTTTTCGCGATCAAAAACATAAAAATAAACACAACTAACACAAACTTGGGTAAATTGGGTAGACCCCTAACAGTCATGGTCGAGGGCCCCCAAACAATGCTAGTCGAGAGCCTTCAAACAGTATGAGGGCCAGAGAATCTCAGCCAAGACAATTAACGCTATTTTGTTAAGAACCCCCAAACTTAGCTTGCTTTGACATAAGATGACAGCTGTCATTTTACGTTACTCAAGAAAATCTGGAATGAAATAATTAATAAATATTGAAATTTGTCGCTCTGTAAAACATTATTCTGTATAATGTTTTACAGAGCGACATTCTGCTGAATACTGAATTATAATGTTTGTCGTTAATATAAATATACACATAAATACAAAAGTGCATTGGTTGGAATGTGAGCCGTTAAGCTTCTTAAGTCGATTAGATATTTGCAGAGGCTTCTTCGCAGGGTCACCAGATCCTCCGGCGTTTTCCAATTAGCAAAGTTCCGTTCGCTTAATAATGAAGTTAATGCGCCCTTCATCAACAACAATTACCGAAAGGGGCTTTTCTCGATTACAATCATTACGGCGCATGCTTTCGGGAATACATTATCCAATCCGGGCCGCACAACATTGGAAACACGGCCACTTTTCGGGGAGGAAGGGTACGTTCCGTGAGGTGGCGAATGTATGGTATAGGAGGGTGGTTCTGTTGCGCTTTGTGCTCGGTAAAGCGCTAAAACCTCCAGCTTTGTCTGACGACAAACAACAGTGATCATCGTTATGTTTCCAACAACCACCCTCCCAATATATATCACTGCCTACATTATTCCGATTAATCCGAATGCATATATTTTACTCCACTTTGTGAACAATTCATGCGGTATTCTATTATATAAAACTTCCTAATTAGGTGTACCGTTCTAATATACTTATTATGATTAAATATATAACTGTTTCCTTTCCATTTCTCTGTTTGTATTATTACTATTAAATTAATGATACCTAGATTTAAATGCGTATTCTCATTAGTTGTATTTATATTACGTGGAAAAGAACATTTATATCTAATACTTTATGAATTCTCTTAAATTACTCAATATAAATTGGCTTTAATAATATTCGCCTTAATAAAAAGAGATGTTATTAAACCTGCTTACCTATTTTATGAAAAGTAGATGGACCTGGAACAAAAATGAAATAAAATTATAAAAATATGTTTTAAATACATATAACATTATATATTTATGAAAGTAGTTAAAAATATAATTGTCTATATTTTTATATTGTGCTTCATTACGTTTTTTATTTTATATATATTTTTTTTTATATAAGTTTTTAAATCAAGTTTATAATGTAATCAAAAAATTAATACTAATACAATTCAAATTACTTATTAAATCCAGATTTTGATTTGTAATTTGAATTAATCATAATCAAAATGTTAATTGCTAATTTCAATATAATATAATAAGTTTCATTCATTCAATTTGAGAAATTATATAATATTCAAATTATTTTATATTATTTTATATTAATAAAAAAATGAAATTTAGCTGTATTTTTATTATAAACAAATTATTATTAAAGTAAATTTTCACTTTTCATAGTTAAATCATTATTGTTAACAGTTAACACCTAATAATTGAAGTGCCAAACCCATTTTAGATGTTTACTACCGCGTATACAAATAGGCTTTTGTATTTACCAACGATTAACTTAATACCGCTTACTTTTATGTACACAAGATGAAAACACATAGTTTAGTTCACAAAATTTAATTTTGTAAATACTAAAAATTAAGAAAATTTGTTTCATTTACTTTTAACATATAATTATGAACAATTAAATAATTATATTGACAAAAAGCCCTTTGGCCTAAATAAGAACAAAGATTCTTAAATTATAATAATGTAGCATATTATTACAGTCACATATAAAAAAAGAATTAAACCTTATTTATACCTTAAAATAATAAATGAAAGTGATACAAACCGGTCAGAAAGACCTATGGTCAATAGCCCTTTATAACATTTAATCGTTTGTTTTACTATTATTATTGTTGTGAATGAAAATGTTTATTTTTATGTAAAAATACTATTACAATAAAGATTATTATGATTCTGTTATAAATGGATATTTGCGTAATGTGCATATATTTTACATTTAGTTTGATTAATTATAGTTTCCTATAATTTTAAAGTTTCTGCAATTTTAGCTTTCACTACTTTGTAATGTTCTTATGAAAGTCCGCATTTGCCATTAGAATGTGAAGAATGGATCATTGTTGATAACACGTTTCCCCTTTTAATTGTGTCCAAATAAACAAGTTTTGATAGATTATGAAAGTTTTTACTTTGTAATACGATGAGATATTCAGTATAAAACGTATTGTTTACTCGTCATGAACATCATGAAAAGATTAAATCATTTATAAACAATTTTTATTGTAAAAGTAACGAAAGTGAAGAGAAATTACTTTCAGTTTAAATGTATAATTTTAGATGAAAAAAATACAGCAGTTCCTCGTATACTGCGGCTTCCATCAGTCCGGATTAATTATAAAATTTCAAAACAAACTAAATTTTATTTAACCAATATAAAATTATTTTTTTTTTTAGATAAATGATCTTTTTTTTACTTTATGCAGTCAAGTCTCTTTTGATTAGTCCAGTTGCATTCATATTGGCAAAATATATTAACTGCATTAAACTGAAAGTAGTAATTATTTAGAAAATTAATTATTCTCAGTTTTAATGAATCTAATCTGTTACAGTTTAATTTATAATGACAACATACAATGAAAAAATAAATACAAAATATTTGTACAGATGAAGAAATTTTCAAGATTAAAGCATATCTAATGTCCGATGACCACAACTTTTACCAATTACAACAACCTCCTGTAAACAATTATTATTCGAGAAAGTTTGTTATAATGCATACAGCCATTAAGATAAAGTACATGCTATTTGGAAATTGTTAGAATTAGATGACAACAACGCATAACAATTATAATAAGTTTAAAGTCTATTGACCTCCGACTTTCTGCCAACAAGTATAGAAACTTGGAAATTATGTTTATTTTTATAATTTAAACCTTTTTCTTCTATCTTAATTTTAGTATAAAATTGTACAACGATGCACACTTTATCAAGATGCGGCACGTCAACAACCTTGTTCATAATACACAGAACCATTGTCTAAAGTTGAATGGTGCTACAAACGACAAATTTAGACGTAATTACGAAAATTGGTTGTTGTTTGAAACAGTAGTCATGTCATTATTTTAAATTATAAGGCTTAACAGTTTGGAATTAATGACAAGGCAAGTGCAAACTCTTTCAGCCGTAATGTTTTTTTAAACAATTATTATAAACTGTACAAGTGAATTAGATTACATTTAAAAATAATAAAATGCATAAACCTTTTTATTTTTTATATTCATATTGTTATAATTATTGTTGAAAAATGGTAATAAAATATTAATTGCAATTATTAAAATAATGACAGTGTTAAATAAAAATCATGTGCATAATGTCTAGTATACAGAAAGAGTATATAAATATAAAGCACGTAGTATGTGATTTGTACCTATTGATCATGGCCTATCTCTGGTACAGGTCAACGGTAAAGTATAGGAATAATTATAAAGGAAAGCTGTATTTACACAATGATGAATGTAAACCACCCACAAAGGCTCTTCGGTTTTCGACCCATCACATCAAATTGTCTCACTCTTACTCTGAAGAGTATCTCTTTTGATATCCTTTCGTCGAATATGCAAACATTTCATGTGGATTGCAGACACTTCACTGTCTCGTCTTATACAAGATGTATACATTTTGTCTTCCATCTTTCCTTGCGAAAATGGTTAACACATTTATACTCAATGTGTAAAATTATGTGAATTTATAATTTATTGAGAATAAATTACATTTAATCTAAACCAATATAAATAAAATGTGCACACAACGTCATTTCCGTTTTCTATCCAACACATCACTCTGAAGAATATCTCTTTCTGATATCCTTTCGTCGAATATGCAAACATTTCATCTGGGTTGAAGATACTCCTCTATTGCGTCTTATTCGAGATGTTTATATTTCACCTTCTAAACTTGCCTTACTAAAACTTATGCACTTAAGATAAATACATATAAATGTATGATATTTTTTTAAATTATTGAAAAATTTATTGGACAAAAAAATTTAAATTAAATCTACGTGAAAATAAAAATATTTAGATATTATACTCTAGGTTTTGTGATTCGTCAATAAGTATAGTGTGCTACAAATATTACTTACTAGAATTTTCCTATTTTATTTTTTGTTTGTCACATTTAGTAAATTCTCTTATCTCTCAAATGAATACTTTATTTAGTAGTCATTCTGACATTTGACACAAATAACTTTCAAACATAACCAATATGACGAAATAAACAATTAATCAAATTATTACTATCGATTCAGTAACGTAACTGTCATTGTGACATCAAACATAAACAATAGGATAAATTTAACAAAACACAAATTATTTCTATTATTTAAGTGATGCAATTGTCATTATCACATTTAACAGAAATCTTTCAAACATAACCACTAGAATAAAATAAACAAAATTACTGTCGATTTACTAACTTAACTGTCATTATGTTATTTGATATAACTATCTTTAAAACGTAACTAATATGACAAAATAAATACAAAAAATATTGTTTATTCAATAATGTAACTGTCATTATGACATTCGACAGTAATATCTTTCTGACATAACCACTAGGATAAAACTAATTTAACTGTCATTATGACATTTGACAGAAATATCATTCAGACATAATCACTAGGACAAAATAAACAAAATCATTGTCTATTACCTAACTTAACTGTCATTTTGACATATAACATATTGATATAACTATCTTTGAAACATAACTAATATGACAAAATAAATTAAAAAATACTGTTTATTTAGTATCCTAACTGTCATTATGACATTCGACAGAAATATCTTTGTAATTGTTTAAAAAAAATATATATTTTATCTTAAGGAAAACTAAGATAAAAATTTGCTTGAAATTAGTCAACATCAGATAAAATTTAATGTCCAGAAATAATGATTATATATATTTTCATATTCAACATATAGGTTTATTCTCTAATTACTTTTTAATTGGAAAAAAACGCACTATGCGAGTTATTGCTGCACATCTAAAATAATCATATTTTGTAAACTTCATTATTGAAATTCCCATAAGAATAGCTATCATTTTTATTTAAAATAATATTATCATATCATTCTAGATTTATTTATAACAACAAATTTTAATATGAGATCAAATCTAGCAGAATTTATTATTCGAAGACCCATAAGAATAAATATTATGTTTTTCATATTTATATATTTTTCTGCATTTACTTACAAAACTAATAAATTGTAACGGTTATCTGACATAAACTTTAATGTCCATGTTTTTATATTTTACTGTTTGAAAATCCCATAAGAAGAGATATGAATTTAAATATTTCTATTTGTTATATTCGAATTATTTTTATATCTTATATTTATTTATATAAAAAAAATACCTTAAAAAATATTTCAGACTTCTACAGCGATTTTTTTTTGTATATCTTTCGAAATTTAATTATATATAAATTAAAATAAAATTTAAACTATTATTTAACATAAACTTTTGTTTTGCATTTTACCTCGGACCACGCTTTAATTTTATTTTTCGAGCGTGTAATTTGGCGACCCTGGCAAGCGGAACTAGCCCAAAGCCATTAAAAATATATAGAATTAATTAATGCCAGTTGTTATTCCTTCTATTTCATTCATTCACTGCTAAATTCACCGCAACCGTTCTTCAAGAAAGCAATTTACCAAGAATCAAAAAATTAAATAATAATATAAGTATGAATGAACTCATGTTAATTTAATTCGCATTAAATTTAATGAATTTAGAAAATTTAGTGCGTTTAATAAATTGTGGTTTATATTGCTAATTGTAACTACTCTGAAGTAATTACGTAACTGTTATACGCTGGATGCGTAACGGCGCACAGTGTTAATAAATAAACAAAAATGGAAATTTAATGAAATCCCATTAATTCTGCATATTCCGAACGTAATTACTAGTGAGTTATTAGTCGAATCCGTTGTAAATAAATAAAAAACGCGCCG